ATAAGACGGGCAACAAGAAGGAGCAAAAGCATTTGCTTCAAGATGAATGATGATACAGAGGATTGAACAGCCTACTGCCACAATAGCCTCTTTTGTAATTTAAAGATGTATAATATCTCCCACTGGCCAGCCATCACACAAAAAATGTACAACTTCATTTCTGTCTATTGCAGACAAGACAGCATATTTAAAAGCTTTGAAAGTAACTGTGAATGTGTCTTGCATTACCCCCTTTACAAGGAACTGGAAGAGATGCTTATAGAACATGGCTTACTGTTACTGTGCTACATAACTTATGCTAAGTTTTGAATTCGAGATTTTTCAGTGTGTTCTGTACAGTAGTGACTGTACAAATAAATGTTTTGTGTTTGTTGTGGTTTACCAAGTTTTGTTGAGCCCAAATCTAACTTCTGCTTCTATAATGCTGAAAAAAGGGAACAGAGGAGTTGAGGCAAAGGATGAATGGAGGCAACTTTAGGGATGGAAATATAGAAAGATGGTCATTGAAGAGAAGAGGTAGGGGAGCGATCAATAGAGGTTGAACAGGAACAGACATTCTGAGGCAACAAAGAATATTGTTCCAGGCAATACAAAGAACCATCAGACCAGTGGGACAACAGCAGAGATTGAGAAAAAAAAAATCCAAATTCTCAACACTGGGGAGACAAGTTCCAATGATTTATTCAGTAGAACATCTATTTAAACCACAGCAGACTTAGGGCATTGTCAAAATACATTTTATTGCTAATAGTTAGAGAGTCTGTATACTTTGGCAGGGGAACAAGTGGGATATAACTACAGAGGTTTGAATATAGATGCTGCTGTGCAGGAACTGAAGCCCTTATCCACAGAAACTTCTGGAAAGAGAAGCAGCTTTAACGGATGGAGGGTAAAAATAGTAGTGGCACTGAAACAGAGACCGAGCCGTGCTGCAAATATGAGCTTGTAGTTTGGTGGAGGGAGAACGAAATCCAAACTGGCATAACTTCCCACACTGCTTCATGTCCCTAGAGTCTACAGCACCTGAGCTCAACAATCAGCTTCAAGAGGTTTGTCAATTTAGTCAGTCCTGTATTTAGTGTACTTTTTTTATTCTTTTTCTTTTTCTTTTTTTTAGGAATGTGTCATAATGTTACTTCTCTATCTCTGTAACTCTGTCTATGTATTCATCTAGAACCGCTTCGCTGAAATTGTTAGAGGTAGTGGTACTGATGTGTTGGTAATTCCATCTTTTGGTGCTACAATAAATTTACAGCAACTATTTAATGTCCCATGAAAGTTGCTTTAAATATCACGACCTCAGAGGATGAAACCCAGTGGCCTGGATGATCCCCTGACTTTTTTTTTTCTGACATCACCATGAGACTGACATTTTAGTATCTCAACAGCATTTGTACTGATTGACATAACATTTTGTCCGTAGATTTGTGGTGCACAGTAAATGAATCATGCAACTCACGCTGCTTGGGTGGATACAAGTTTGTTGCCGAAACTCATAGTCCCCGGAGGGTAAATCCCCAAAGAACTTAATTGATTTTGAGTGGCAGCTGCTGGTTGACATCTGTGGTACAAAGTGAAACACCTCACCAATGCTGCCTGGAGCAACTTGTTTGATCCAGAGGCCTGTACCACAACTTAACTCTGGGTTTTCAGTACTAAAATGGTGGCTCAGTTCTTATTGGGGTACACCTCCATGGAAAATTATGCTGAATTCCTAACTGGAGCAGGTTGTGTTCCAGATAAGATATTAGCGCATTTAAAAGCACCACCGACTGACCAATCAGTTCTCCCAGAAAAGGGCACCAACACTGAAGATCCAGAGGAACTCAGTGCTCAGATAGTAAGGGGAACATATGAGA